TAATTTAATTTTAGATGTGACTTATTTAATTCAAATTAGATTGTCTAACTAATTTGATATAAGTATGACTTACTCAATTGTTACGTCATTTAATTTTAGTTTAAATATCTTAATTTAATTTGATTTTTAAATATGACTTAATAAAGTGTAAATTAACCATTCAAGTTATTGCCTTTATCTATGTGCATTAAAATTTATATTAAGAGAACATCTAATTAATTTGATTGAAGTATGACTTACTCAATTGTTACTTCATTTAACTTTAGTTTAGATATCTTAATTCAATTTTATTTTTAAATATGATTTAATATAGTGTAAATTAATCATTCAAGTTATTGCCTTTATCTATGTGCATTAACATTATATGTAGAGAACGTCTAATTAATTTGATTCAAGTATAACTTACTCAATTGTACTTCATTTAACTTTAGTTTAGATATCTTAATTTAATTTGATTTTTAAATCTGATTTAATAGAGTGTAAATTAACCATTCATGTTTTCGTCTTTTATCTATATGCGTTAAAATTTATATGTAGAAAATGTTCTATATATTTATCATAAGAAAATACATAATAACTTTCAAAATGATTTGTATAAGGATTGATTCTGAGATTTTACTTATACTCATGTCAAAATGTAAGTTTATATGTCATTTGAGTTATAACTCTCAAGTATGACATAATCAATGGTTACTTAAGTTTAATTTAATTTCAGATGTAACTTAATTTAATTTAAATTAGGTTATCTAAATTTAATTTGATTCAAGTGTGACCATGTGATTTATTTAATTGTTACTTTATTAAATTTCAATTTAAATTTCTTAATTTAATTTAATTGTTAAATGTGACTTAATAAAATATATACTAAACTCAAATAATAGTAGCCTAATGGTAAAGAGTATCTGTGGGTTAATTACAATGGATTAGGTTGTAGATTTAATCCTTTGTTTGGTTTTCTTTTACTATTTACTCACCATTTTGCCACTTCACCTGCAAACAAAATACTTATTTTTGTGTTTCGTAGTTAAATTTCCTATATATGTTTAACATACACTTTCTATCACAATCATTCTTATTTTCCTAATTCGTGATTAAATTTTTAATTCATCTAATTTCAATCTTTATACACAAAATTTTAGAAAATTTTTACAATTTTTTTATGCATTTCACAACTTAATGATCCATTAATGCACTTATTAGGGCAGTGGAATTCATATATAGAACTAGTTTTCAAGTATAATAAATATGACTTATTTAATTGTTACTTAATTTAATTTTAATTTAACTGTCTTAATTTCATTTGATTCCAAACATAACAAAATGTAGCTTAAAAAAGTAAAGTTAAAGGAAAATTAAATGGCATATGATTATTCATGTCTCATAAATCACTAAGACACTTGTAAGAATATGGTTTGTTAATTGATGAGGTAAAAACAAAATAAATGTCCTGCATGTGCATTGATAATTTCATCAATTTAATGCTTTGTTTGGAGTTAATCAAATAATGAAAGAGAAATATTTAAAATTCAAAATTTCAATCTTCTTCTCTATGTCAAACCTACCAATTTTACGTGAGGATGAAAGTGACATTTGACATATTAAATCTGGATAAAAGTGCCATTTTAAGTGTCATGATCTTAGATCACCATGAGCCAAAAACCTTTTCTCTTTCTCTAAATAAAGATGAGAGGGAGTATTATTATAATACCTTTGTTTGATGCAAATAATTTGCTTCTCTTGGTTGGAGACTAAATATTGTAGTTTTGCTTTAAATTTGAAGTTTTTGTTTTGTAATTTGCATTAATTACTGTTTAATAATAGTGAACAATAGCAAGTTTCCTCAAAATCAACTTTTCAACATTAATGCCAATAATAGAATGGGTCACCATTTTTTAACTTCTAGTAATGTCCTAAGCATTTCCTTAATAAATCCAATAAAAACCATAAAAGTTTGGATTAATTACTTTTTTTACTAGCTTTCTGTTTAATAATAGTGAACAATAGCAAGTTTCCTCAAAATCAACTTTTCAACATTAATGCCAATAATAGAATGGGTCACCATTTTTTAACTTCTAGTAATGTCCTAAGCATTTCCTTAATAAATCCAATAAAAACCATAAAAGTTTGGATTAATTACTTTTTTTACTAGCTTTTTTTTTTTAAAAAAAATAAAGACCCCGTTAGCCCCTCGAATTATAGAATCACAAGCTGAATTATTTACAACATCAAAGGAAAATGGTTCTTCATCCAATCAACATTCCAATGAACTTGATTTGTCAAATCTTCCTTTATTATCGAGTTGAGCTATTTTATATAGTTTTTAGGTTTGCAATTGCAAGAGTTAAATAACCGTATTAATGAAGTAAATAGAAATTAATGTGTTTCATATCTAAGTCTTAAGAATTCATTTTCTCAATTTCAAAAGAAAAATTGATTCAACTTGCTAGATTATATCTAAAATATTTTTCGGTAGTATTGAATTTCTTTGAGGCCAATTGGAGATTTATATAGTTGAAATGCATTCAAAGTTTTGATTCTTGTAGTTGCAAGGAATTTATGAACTTGCTCAAATGTTAGTCGCAACAACAAAAGATATTGTGTATATATCCTTTAGTCTACAAGCTTGTTAATTTGTTATTGATTTTATCTGTTGCAACAGATTCAGTGGAATGAACCATTTATACTATGAATATTATAAAAAATATGTTATACAATAGAATAGAAGATCAATTATAAAATGATATTGTGATTGTTTATATTGAGAAAAACTTATTTAGAAATATTGATGAAAAGCTTATTATATGACATTTTTAGAATATGAAAAGTCGTTAAATTGCATTGTAATTGTAAATATTTAAAATTTATCGATGTTGATTATTGAAGAAATTGAAGGAAAGAATATGTTGTATTTCTTTCTATTTTGTTATATTTTTCAACCTCTACTCTACTATATATATATACAAAAAATTATTCCAATATAGGAAGTAATCTAAATAGGAATAAACCTAAACTAGGAAACATAATATTTACTCTAATTAGGAATAAACCTAAATTAGAAAATACAATATTTACTTTAATCACAAAGATTTCAACACTCCTCAAGTTGGTGTATAGATATTACTCATGCCCAACTTGCAAACTAAAGGATGAACAACTTGCTATGCAAACCCTTTATGAAAACATCAGTTAGTTGCTCTTTTGAAGCTATATAGGAGACACTTATAAAACCTTCAACTATCTTCTCTTTTATAAAGTAACGATCAATCCCTATATGCTTAGTTCGATCATACTCGACTGGATTGTTCATAATACTGATAGTTGCTTCACTATCACAAAATAAGAATATATTTATTGTTTCAACTAACTTTAACTTTTCCATTAATCTGCGCAACCATAGAAGTTCACAGATTCCCTGTGCCATAACTTTATATTCAGCTTTTTCACCGGACCTTGCAACAACAGCCTACTTCTTGATTCTCCATGTGACCAGGTTTCCTCTAACAAAAACACAATAATCTGAAGTTGGTCTCCTGTCTTCAAGGGAACCAGCCCAATCCGCATCTGTGTAGCCTGTTATTATTAAATGGTCATGTTTAGAAAATAAAAGTTCTCTGGAGCTAATTTTAAATATCTTAAAATTCGATACACTGCTTCTAAGTGAGTCTCCCGAGGGTCATGCATATATTGACTCACTAAACTTAATTCCCATAAGGGTGAAAACACAGGTTGTTGGAAGACTAAAAAACTTTTACGCTCTATGGCTCGAGAGATTTAAACCTCGTGGTTATATATATATATATATATATAACAAAAAAGCCCCTTCATCTCGTCTAAGCCACAAACAACTCCCATTTTTGCAATAATGAAGAGAGAAAATCATCCACCGTAACCCGTCCTATTACTTCTACAACCCAAAAAGCAACAAAACTAGCTTCTAACACAAACAACAACAAAAATAGCTTCAACAAAAAAAGCAATAAAATCATCCACCATAGCTAGTCATTCAAATGTTGCAGGAACTCATTCCATAAATTTTTTTAATTTAAGAGTTTTTGAAGTCAAATACGATGCTCTTAATAACTCTTGTCGGCTCTTACACAAGTGATTATATAGGTAATCTTATTGGATTTTGGCTTCAAAGAAGAAGTAAATGCAGAATAATGGAATTAAGAAAAGAGATTGAGAGTAGCGTTTCAAGTTCCAATAACTACCATGGATATATAGAAAAAAGCCCATCAAAGCAAGAAAATAAACAAATATAAGTGAAACAACTCTTATTTTGTGGGTTGATTTCTCATATCGGAGGAGATGAGAAATTGAGGTTTGATAAGGAAAAGAGGGTTCTCTACTGGAGAATCAAGAATGAGAAAATGGTTATTAAGGCTAATTATTTGCAGATGGTAGCGCTTTGGGCATTGAGGGTATTTTAGTTATAAAAAAGTTATCTCTTTTGACTGTGCTTTAACTCACATTTAAACAATAAAAAATGAACGAAAAGATCTGACGTAAATAAAGATTAAAAATGTAATTATATATTTAAAAAAAGCACATTATAATTAGTATTTTTTGGCCATTATTTAAGGACGTAATAATAATTTTTCAATTGCCTATTGGCTTAACTTTGTCCATTTATTTTCATTCCTGGTTATATCAATTAACATAAATTTAAGCACATTAAGACATAACGTAGTTGTAAATATATGTATAACTTGACAATAAATTTAGATTCGAATTTCTTCAATATTAAAAAAAAAAAACATAACTTTAAAATTTAATAATTATGTTAAAATTTAAATATCCATTTCACAGTGAATATTTGTAAAACTAAATATTATATTATAGAAATAAAAAATTTTAGTCGCATTCAATTTTTTATTCTTAATTATTGTGATTTAATTTGTTTTCTCTGGCAACTAGCCATAGTTATGCAGCTAGGAATAATAATGATAGCAAGAATAAAATCAAGCAAACAAATTAAAGCCAAGAAACTCACTTAAGATTAAAAATTTATTTAGAAAATCAAATATGGTAAGTACAACATATACTTGGATAATTGAATTTGACAGGCTAACAATTTAATTTTGAACACAAAGACCCACTAATTTACATCTTAATTCTTCCATCTAATTATTCAAAACAAGACGGAGGCAGGCGTGGAGAGAGAACAATTTCCAGAGGACTAATTTTCATGTTTGTTAACCCAACACCAGGTGACATATCAACAGGTTCATTTCCAGGAACTGAAATTTCAAAAGCCTGTAATAAACTTGCCAATGTCAAATGTGCCATTTGCAGGCCAAAAGATACAGCAGGGCAACCCCTTCTTCCACCTCCAAATGGCAACAACTCAAAATTCTTGCCTCTAACATCAACATTTTTATGAGTCGTAAGGAACCTTTCAGGCCTGAATTCCAGAGGGTCTGGCCATACATTAGGGTCTCTTTGGATTTTCCAGAGATTGAGCATAAGCCAAGTGCCTTTCGGGACATGATAGCCGCCGATAGTGCAGTCTTCAGTGAATTGGCGGGGGCCTGGGATTAATGCTGGTGGGTATAGCCTTAGGGTTTCTTTGAATATGGCTTGGAGATAAACAAGGTTGCCAATATCTGTTGCATTTACAAGCCTTTTTCTCCCGACATGGATGTCTAATTCTTCTAGAGCTTTTTGTAAAGCTTGCTTGTTGTTTAGTAGTAGGGACATTGCCCATGTCAAGGCCACTGTTACTGTCTCATTGCCAGCAATCAAACTCTGCAAAGAGTTATTAATTATTGGGTCAGTCCATATCTATAGGCACCAACAACTATATTGCAATTTGGAATAAAATAATAAAACGGAGTAGTTGTTTTTAAAATGATAAATAATGGTGTATGCCACGTCAATAACTTTACTCAAAACTTTCGCGTAGAAACCTTCTATATGAAATCTTTTTAAACACTCAGACACGAAACATTTTACTCTCTCATTGCCAGCAATCAAACTCTGCAAAGAGTTATTAATTATTGGGTCAGTCCATATCTATAGGCACCAACAACTATATTGCAATTTGGAATAAAATAATAAAACGGAGTAGTTGTTTTTAAAATGATAAATAATGGTGTATGCCACGTCAATAACTTTACTCAAAACTTTCGCGTAGAAACCTTCTATATGAAATCTTTTTAAACACTCAGACACGAAACATTTTACTCTTTTTGTGCACTTATCCAGTGCGCGAGAATGGTTAAAAGGAAAATGTGCTGGAACAAACTTTTCAATTGAATTAATCTGTGATTTTAGTATTAATTGGACCAAAATTTTAATTAAAATGATATTATCATGTAACCCACGAATTGACCTTTAACTTAACCCAATAGTCAAAACAACATCGTTTAAAAAAAAAAAAAAAAAGTCTCTCCCAAAATTCATTCTCTCTGCTTTCAACCCTCAATTGTTGCTAAAAGCGCGACACAAGCCCACTACTTCATCCACTGTCTACTGAACAAAACATAAGTTATCTATTTCAATGCTTAAGGATGTAGTTGATTCCTAGAAATTGCAAGGGCTCTAAATGCTCAAGAGCATCCATTCCTTCATTGCAGAACTGTGCGTGAGAATTGTTGTCACTTCACTTGAGCATGACGCAGATGCTCTAAGGTATAGACTTTTGGGAGAGAAAAATTGTAGAAGGATGTGTTTTGATCTCTTGGGTTAGCTTAACCCAAGATCAAGCTCTGGGTCCTACATTATTATCGATTTAGTCCAAATTTTTTATTCCAGTTTAAAAATAGAGCACTAATATATCTACGTTTCAAAATGCAGTGCCTAAAACGCAAAAGTCAATTTAGAGTAATTTTGCAATAAATCATATAGTTGGGATGTTTTTATAGTTTAGCCTTAATTTAATTGTGGGCAGTGTTCGATAATAATTTTTTAAGTAGCTTTTAGCATTTTGACCGGTAACGTAGCATTTGAATAAACTTTTACAGTTAAAGTAGCGTTTTATAAAAAGTTAACCCATATAACTTTTAACTATTAGTGTTTTATGAAAAGTTACTCAAACACTTTACAGCTAAATGCTACTAAAACAGTTAACAACAATCAAAATAGCTAACAACTATCAAAATAGTTAATTTTGCTGAACAAGATCCGTAAATTCAAAAGTAGAGCACTTTGTAATTAAACGGTGAGTTTAGACATTTTTAGTAGTTATTTATATAAATATTAAATGAAAATTAATATTTTCTAACGAATTTTCAATTTTAAAAGATAATTTTTAAATTATTTCAGCATTACTAAAATTAAATAATGAAAGTAAGTATTTTTTTTTTTCAGAAATTTATTTCAAAGACAAAAAAAATCAATTATTTTATGTTATTAATGCACGAAAAAAAAAAAGAGCTTAAAAATGAAAAGAGGCTACTACCAAGCATGTAGCTTTGTTGACAGTGTCCGCATCAAAACCTTCAAGGCTTTTGTCATCAACATCTGAAAGCATAATATCCATGAAGTCTTCCTCTCCTTTATCCTCCTCGCTCAAATACCTCTTTCTTTTATGCTCTTCAAGCCATTTTTCAAGAATCTCATCCAATTCTTTAGCAGTTTTCTTCATATTCTTCTCATTCTTCCTCTCCTTTATCCTCCTCGCTCAAATACCTCTTTCTTTTATGCTCTTCAAGCCATTTTTCAAGAATCTCATCCAATTCTTTAGCAGTTTTCTTCATATTCTTCTCATGTCCACCCAAATCCATCCATCCAAGAAATGGAGCGGCGTCTCTCAAAACAAGCGTCCCTAAATAATGAAAAAGTACCGATATTGCTTTCTGAAACTGCCGCCCTTCTTTCTCGCCGCCGGAACCACCTTCACCAAAATACTTCTTCCCTATAACCATCCTAAGAAGGACATTATGATTTAAATCGGAGAACCATTGTTTAATATCGGCAGTCTTTTTGTTCGTTGAAGTTAATGATCTGTGCAACTCTTTTATGGAAGCTTCAACTTCCTGGATTCTAATATGCTTGAGCAACTCAAGACGGCGGTTAGAGAGCAGTCCAAGGGTGGATAATTTACGGGTTTGGCGCCAATATGGGCCACCAGCAGGCGTGAAAGGAAAAAAGGCATAATTGTAGCCCATAAATTTTGCAGCTACAAGAGATGGACGGGAAGTCACAGCCAAGTCATTGACGGTGAATAATTCCTTAGCCATTTCCGAATTACTCAACACCAAAACAGGTTTTGACCCTATTCTTATGGTTAAGACTGGACCGTACTTGTCAGCAAGAGTAGCCAGTGCTACGTGAGGAAGATTGGATCCTGATAATAGAGGCAGATGGCCTATTAAAGGCCATGCGCCGCCTGGTTGGGGTGGCGGTTTGCCTTTGGGAGTTGGGGTTTTCCTTAGAAGGTTATTGTAAAAGAAGATCAGAAATAAAGCAAAAAGAATAGCAATGATGTTGTCCAAATATGGAAGAAGAGAATCCATTATTCTATTAGCTAAGGTTTGGTAGAGGAGGGAGAATTTCTAAATTTTAAGTGCAGGAAAAGCTTAAACTTTGGTTACATATTTATAGTATCGCAATAATATGGGTGCGAGTGATCCATTTGCCACTATTATTTGATTTATTTATAAAGTTGGCTTAGGGTTTATTGCTTTTGACACGTGGTTGATAGAATTTTATTCTTAGATTTATACAACAAATACTTTGGTTGTACTCTTCTTCTTTTTTTGGGTCAAAGGAAAGACCAAATCTCTAAAAGGAGAAAAAAAAAAAATTACAAGCAACTTTTAAAGTGAAAACCACTTACATCGTGCAAAAGCGATCAAAGCGAACCGAAGGATCCTTAAAAACTTGAATTCCTGATAAACATAAAAGTTATTTTCACATTATGTAGAGTGACATTTTTAATTATGCTAGGGAGTAATCGGTAATTATATAAATAGGACATGATATTGTTAGATTATGCCTCCTAATATCTCTTCTTCAATCTCTCTCATTTAGTAGTTATATTTTGTAGAGGTTTACTATTTTCAACTATCAATACTACGACACAAAATCAATGAGTATTGGGATGAGTGGTTCGGCACTCTTCTCGCTTAAGTGAGGTCGATGATTCGATCCTTATGAAATGGACAAATACTCCTTCTCATGGTCCGAACAGAATTCGAACATAATTTAGGATGGGGATACACGTGGTTAAAAAAAAAAAAATAGCACAAAAGCACATCTTCCTTATATAATTCTTATCAATAACTTTAGCGATGAGTTCCGATTGGAAAGGATTCTGCCAAACCTTTTTAATAATGTTTGTTTGTCATATTATAAAAAATGATATGGTGCAACTGTAAATCTATATAGGACATTTTATATGGGATAACAAGCCAAAAATAAACAAAGAGACGTAGATTACTATCTCATTTCTAGGCATTAATTAATAATTTAATTTTAAAGAATACTCAAGATTAATGCATTCATTCATAAAAATAAAAAATCATATTTATTTGAAATTTGACCTGTTAACTTTAACCAAAACTGTAGAATCAAATCGCATCATGTTCCATTAAGAAAATTTATTTCGTTTGTAGCGAGTTCATCCATAAGACTTTAAACATTTGGCATCCTTAAAGCTCAGTAAGGTCGACCTCGGATCGATTGGAAATGTTTTATAAATACCATCTTGAGCATAAGCGTGAAAACATATTTGTAAACCATAAAAAAATTAAAAAATATATATTAGAATCCTATTATTATCCCACTTTCTTGTGGATAAGAATAATAAAAAATATTTATATAAAGCAATCTCCAGCAGATCGCAATCAATTTTGCATAAAAACAAAATAGAAAAGATTGTTAAATTAAAAATTGCACCCCCACTTGTAATAATAAAAGACTCTAATCCCTCACCTTTAAATACAAACATTAAAAAGTTATTGTATTTAAATTACAAGTACTTTATCTCAATACCCCGCACTTGTATAATTAACAGAACTCTAGATCCTCACCCTTTTAAATTACAAACATTAAAAAGTTATGTATTTAATTACAAGTTACTTTAATCTCAATACGTAACTTATTCTCTCTCGTCTCCCACAAATCTAAAAGCTCTCTTTTTTTCTTCTACAAGCGACCACCGTGAACCATCCTTTTTCCTCTTTTTTGGTTTTTTTTTTTTTTTTTTTCTTTTTTGGTTTTTTTTTTTTTTTTTTTTTGCAAGTAATCCTCAAATATATATCTGAGTTATTATCACCTAAATATTAGGATTTGTTGTTGTCCATATTTTGAAATTTTATTCTCAGCTCTAGTTCTGAATTATTGTTATCACCATTATAGCGATTTTATCTACGGTCTTTTGTTGTTGAAATAGTTATGTAGAAAGAACTGTAGATCTTCTCTCTAATAGAAAGAAGAAATTTGAAGGTGATCAGATCGGACTTGTAGAAGAACCATGGAGTCGAATAGTGGTCATAAATAGTCACCAAATAGAGCAAACGATCGCCTATGGCAAAAATATTATGTTCTGTCAACTCGATCAGATACTTCAAATCAAGATTGTATTTTTTTTATTCTTTATATATAGTGGTTTATTATTAAAAGTCTTATACAAAAATATAAAAATATATTAATTTGTATCTCGTATTTATATACAGTTTCCTCTTAAAAGTCAGTAAGCTCAACTTCGTATCGATTGGAAAGGTTTTTTAAATACCATCTTGATTGGAAAGGTTTTATAAATATCCTCTTGAGCATAAGCGTGAAAACATACTTGTAAACCATAAAAAAAAAAAAAAAAAAAAAAAAATTTGAATCCTACAATTATCCCTCTTTTTTGTGCATAAGAATAAAAAAAGTTAATTATGAAAAGAAATCTCCGGCAGATAGCAATCAATTTTGCATAAAACAATATAGAAAATATTATTAAATTAGAAATTGCACCGCTGCTAATCTATCAATGCTATATACATAAATATATATAAATGAGGAATAATGAGATTTTCAATAGTGCATTTTTAATGAAATTTGAATATTTTAAAATAACTTTAATAACGATCAATTAGAAAATTATTTTATTAGTTGATTGAATATAATTTATTAAAATTAAATTTTAAATAAATGCAATAAATGCATATAGATAATTAAGCATTTCAAAATTTTAAGTTTTATTTTTTTATATTTATTAAATTGATAATGAGAGATTTAAAAATTTTTGTATTTATTTTCCAAATTTACTTTTAAATATTTGATTATGTTTTTATTATAATTTAAAATATTCTATATAGGAGAGAGATAAAACAAGAAAAAAATTATATTTTTATCATATTTTTTTTTTTATTTTTATGTTTATATGATTTGAATGGATATATTTTTTAAGAAATAAATTTTCAAATGGAATATATATAATTATGCCTTTCAAAATTTTTAAATTTTTTACTTGTTAAAATTTATTTTTAAATAAAATGAACATATGTGTATTTCACATCACGAACAGTTGAAAATTTTAATTTTAAAAATATATAATATTTTATTATTAATAATATAATATTTTATTATTATATCTATATACCTATATATTTTGAAATGTATTTCTTAGGTGTTATTGTAAAATTATACATATACAGTTATTAGATGATATTGTAGAATTTTAGATAAATAACATTATAAATTGAACTAAAATGTGTGTCTGTATATATATACTGCTATTTTATTAATTAACTGTTTATTTTCACATTAATCTCATATCAAATTGTTTTAACATTATAAAAATCTAAATATTATAAGATAAAAGTTATAATCAATATTTATTATTAAAAAATAAAAAAGTATAAATAACAAAAGTGAGTAATGACGGAAAAATGTACAAGTACAAAAATATAATTTATGTGTAACTCACGTTATAAAAAATATTAATAATAATAAAATACTCTTAAGCCCTCCCCCTCAAAATACAAGCATTACAAAATTTCAGTACTTAAATTGCAAGTACTTTACCTCAATACGTACGTAAGAATCGCGATTGTGAAGAAAAATATGTAAAAGTATGTTAAAATTCTTCCAGCCGCCCTCTCCAAGCGGCTCTGCCATTATGTCTGAGATGACCCACATCTTACCTGTAATATATCTTCTATCATTAACTTTGCAAGATATTAAAAATGGGACCTATTATTTTATAAACAGCTCTTTAAAAAAAAATAGACATTTTTATAAAATATTTAAAAAATATAGCAGTGTTTGAACAGGATCAAAGAAACTGATAGAAGTGGAATAAAGGTTTTGTTAGGAGCATAATCGGAGACTCCCTTTTCATTGATAAAAGACGTAAAAAACTTGTACATATATATTATAGAAAGAGATAATAATAGTAGACCTATTCTAAAGGGATACGTTGATAGTTTCTTATTCTAGTGGGATTAGTTTACATATATAACAAGATACATATCTTTACAGTGTTCGTCATAAAATCAGCTGATAATACTGTTTTGTGTTAGATTTAGCACCAAATTATCAAGAAATTTAAATACTTAAATGAGAAAGGATTTGTATTGTATTGCTATATGATTTATATTATACAACACTCTTTATATCGGTGTGTATAGAGTGTCTTTATATCGGTGTGTACAAGGTATGTACAAAAAGGAATAAGACAATCAAAAAGAAAAAATGAATCATAATGAGATACAATAGAATCAGAATCAGATACAATAGGATCAGAATCAGGTATACTAAGATCAGATTCAGATTTACTATGATCAGATTCAGATATACTAGGATCATTTAGGATTTTATTCTGATAAAAATGAAATATTGTTTTTCCTTTATTCTTCATGTTTGTGAAAATATAATTGGACAGTCAAACCATAAACCATCAATTTGTCATGTCATTTTACTTATAGATGCAGCTAAATTAAACCATGCTTTAAAAAAAAAGAACATGTTTTGATAATCTATAATATCTTTTTTAAACTTAACGATTCATTAATAATGAATAAAAGTTGAGTATATCATAATATTCTTATATGAATAAGAAATATAAATATAGAAAATTGAAATCTTTTGTTTGGACATGTTCTTGATCTTGGCAGAAGAGCTTAATCTTCCAAGTAAAAATTGGTCCATTTTCGAATAGGACGATAAAAGAAACCTTCTACAATATTGTCTCAAACATTATTTTTTTGGAAACTTATTACAACTAACACTCACGAAAAGTTTAATATATCAAAACTTAATGGAGGAACAAGCCACACTACCAGGCTCCATTGATAAAAGAAATTTACCCGAACTTAAAGATCTGAAGTCTCCAACCACAAGCAACCAACAATCCATTTTGTCTTTCGAATTGCCCAAGAAATCAAATATCCACATAAAAACTCCTCAATAAAAAGGAACAACTCCATGAAATGCGAGAAATTAATAACTCCATTAAGAGAGTACTAAAAACACTCAAAATCTATCATCTGAGAGACTAAATCCAAATATTGTTCCAAACGATCATATGTAAATTATAGCTAAATATATAAATTAATATATTTTATATTTATATGCATCGCATGTTCTAATACTTTATTAATGTATAACTTAAATTCAAGTTGTAAAGTTGTACCAAATCAAAATTAAACATTTGATAGTAGAAGCAAAAAAATTCTCCATAGCTAAATTGTAAAATCTTTTAAAAAATTAATAATTAAAATTAATAGCTTAACAATTAAAAATATAAAGTTGATACTCTTCAACATAGCCTTACTAGCTATACAAATAAAATTGTTGATAATAAAATTAAATAAACTCTCAATAGCCAAAGAAAATAAAAAATTAGAAGTGAATTTTTTCCTACACAAAATAAACATATTCAAGTCTATAGTTGCACTAAATTATAATCAAACCATTGGTGGTGAATGGCAAAAGAAATTAATAGTCAAATCAAAATAATTTTTGTCTTAGTATAAAAAAATTAAAATTAGATATAATACCTCAATAATCAACAATAAAGTCAGCAGTCTTCGACCAACCTTTTATATCAAAATTGAAAAAATGTTGATAGTGAAAGCAAATAAATAGCCGAAGAAAATAAAAATAAAGCTAATGGTCAATTTGTTGTACACAAAATCACATATATAGTGTATGATAGGACAAAATTTGGCAAAGTTTCCCATCTAATAAAGAATTGTGCTTAATTAAAATTATTTATTAGGGATTTATTTTAAAATTATTAGAAAATTAATCAATTTGTAAAAAATTAATTTGTTATATAAGCGAATATATATTTTAAAATTTTAAATAACTTCATCATGTTAAAAATACAAAACCAGTATGTTAAAGGAAAAAAAAAAAAAGAAAAATTTATGCAATTTATACAAAAACCAGGATGTTAAAGGATGGTGGATTAAAATATAATATAATATTTTTATTATATATAATAAATCACAACAATTGCTCATCAAAAAATAGCTTAGCGTCAGGTGCATAGTTTAATGGATGTTAGATCCAGATTCAGATTTTCTTCCTCGTACGCAAAAAATAAACCATAAGCGTTAAACACGATTATAAAGAAAAAAATGTAGAAGTACGTTAAAATTCTTGCAGCCGCCCTCTCCAGGCGGCTCGGCCGTTTGTCTGAGATGACCCGCATCTTACCCACACTATCTTCAATCATTAACTTTGCAAGATATTAATTGGACCTATTATGTTATAAACAGCTCTTTTTTTTTTAAAAAAAAAGACATTTTTATAAAATATTTAAAAATATGGCAGTATTCGTCGTAAAATCAGTTGATAATGCTTTGTATTGCTATATAATTTACATTATACAACACTCTTTATATCGATGTGTACAAAGTGTCTTTATATCGGTGTGTACACAGTGTGTATAAGGTATGCACAAAAAAAAAAAAAAAAAAAAGTAACAACAGTGTGTATAAGGTATGCACAAAAAAAAAAAAAAAAAAAGACAATAATAAAAAAAAAAGGAATCATAACGAGATACAATAGAATCAGAATCAAATGCAATAGGATCAGAATCAGATACACTATGATCAGATTTAGATACACTAGGATCATTTAGGATTTTATTCTAATAAAAGTGTAATATTGTTTTTCTTTTATTCCTCATATTTGTGAAAATATATCTAGACACTCAAACCATAAACCATCAATTTGTCATGTCATTTTATTTATAGATGCAGCTAAATTAAACCATGCTTTAAAAAAAAAAAAACCACGTTGTTTTGATAATCTATAATATTTTTTTTAAACTTAACAATTCATTTTATAAGTTGAATATATCATAATATTCTTATATGAATAAGAAATATAAATATAGAAAATTGAAAATTTTTTTTTTTGAGATGTTCTTGATCTTGGCAGAAGAAGTTAATCTTCCGAGTAAAAATTGGTCAATTTTCAAATAGGGCGACAAAAGAAACATTCCACAATATTGTCACAAACATTGTTTTTTCTTAAACTTGTTACAACTGACATCTATAAAAAGTTTAATATATCAAAACTTAATGGAAGAACAAGTCGTACTACCAAGCTTCATTGATAAAAGAAATTTACCCGAACTTGAAGATCTGAAGTGAAATACCCCGAATTTTTATTTTCGAAACTTTCAAATTTTTATTAAATAAAAAATCTCGATTTTCGACTATATGAGCTATAAACACCAAACAATTTTAATTTGAGTCCAAAGTTTTGCGAGTTGGGCCCAAGCCCAAATATATTTGTTGAATTTTTGATTTGAGAACAGTTAAAATTTTCGAGAAATAATATGAAACTCCAGCAATTTAATCTATTATGAATATATATAAATAATATATTAAATTTAATATATCCTAAAATCAAATATCACCTTTTACATTTTATATTTTTTATTAATTTTTGAGGTAAATTAGAGAAAATGTTATGGAACCTAACTAAATATCAAAAATAAAATAATCAAAATAAATCGAACCAGACCCAGAAATCAAATTGATTTTTTGAAAACCACACGAATAACCTGAAAACCAAGTGAAAAACCTGCAAAACGAGAAAAATCGAGCCAAATCGTTGAATCAGACCAAATCGATTCGAATCGAACCGGAATGATCTAGGAACCGACTTATTTTCTATTTCTTCTTCTCTTCTTCTTCTTCTTCTTCTTCTCCGACGCCTTCTCCTCACCGCTCTCTCCTTTCCTGGTTTTATTCCGGCCGCCGTAGCAAAAGAGTTCCACTTCTCCTCATCGTCGGACCACCAGCGGCACTCCTCCCTCCCGGACTCCGCCTTCGATGAACGCAGCAGGCGAGCGAGCTGCGAGTCTCTCTGGGTGGCGACGCATAGCAACTCCAGTCACCGATCGCCACTGTATAGTCGCGCCTCCTCTCCGCTAGCGGTTCCAGCGATTGCTGCTGTGCAGGCGAACTGCGATCCCTACATTTTGAGGGACAACGCCGTTTACGCGCATGAGGCTACTGTTGAGCCCGATCCGGCCAGATGGGGGGCCGATCTCACGCAACTGACGCTAGAATCGAACTCCTGACGGAAAATCGAGTCTGATGGTGTATGAATCGCCCGATTTCGGTGAAGTTCGACATTCCGGCCACCGTCCACGGCGGCCAGCGGTGGCGCACGATGACCTTCGGGCGACACTGTAACACCCCTTCCCGGTCCACCCGTAAACCCGAATGAACCGAACCGAGACGCTTCAGACTGGTTGACTGTATGGCCTGATATGCTGAAATCATAATGTATATTGAATATAATATCATGCTGATGCTGTTTATATTAATAATGTACTTAATATTTAACTTAATATTTACAAGACAGTGATACTAGTTTACAAAATGAAAATGGGCCCCAACTGAGCTTGTGCCCTGTTTACATGCCATAAAAAGGGTAGACAAAAGATACACATAAGATTGATTAGCTAAAACCCTGGAAACTGAGTCTTTCTATAGATGAACTGACAGAGTTGTAAGCCGACTCTCTACGGACCATTTCTCAAAAATCTGCGAGATTAAACAGTTTTTAAAAAAAAAACCCCCCCCTTTTCGCTTTTTTTTTTTTTTTTTGGGGGGAAAGGGGGGGGCAAATAAAGCTCAGTGGATATTCTCAACAGATAAAGAAACCAATTAATCAATACATAGATTAAATAAGCATATAAATGCATATGGATAATTAAACATATAAGCACATCTTAGCATGATCCTTTCAGGTATACCTTATTATCTTAGTACTGTTTATAATACTGTATGATTTCATGAATTTATGTCAAGATATCTGTATGGGCTTCCATAAGGTTATAGTGAAAACCGAAGTGATTAGAAAACTGTATGAAACTGGAATGAAATACTTATGCTTGCCTGCTATTGCCCATATATAATTCATATCCACTCCAAACGCCTGTACCGGGAGGTATCAAACTGATATGGGGTGCAGATCTGCTATCCTATGTCGCGACATAGCCTTATATCTACATGGTTTCTACCTAACCTCAATGGAGCATTAATGTTTGGTTATGTCAATAATATACACAAACATCATATTCATAGTTCATAAC